AGGAGATAATGTGATGAGGAGTGTGTGAATGTGTGTGAATGGGTCAGTGCTGACTTGTGTTGTGAATATTCTTGGGAGTCGGGAGGCCTGTTAATGTATTCCGGCAAATTACTCAGACCTACTAATTGACCTAACAAAAGTTATTGAGTCTTTGTAAGTTTACTGCTTGGCTCAGATCCACCATCGTCAGCAAGATCTCACCTCTATTAACTCCTGGAGAACCAGGTTCAATTAACTGCTGTTTCAATTCAGACGACCCGCTAAATCTGTTTAAGTGATCCCGAAGGATTTTGATATCAGTAATGAGGTGTGGCCCTACCTAAGTGTGAGTGTGGCAGTGTGCATTTCTTACCTTTCAAGCAGGAGAGGATAGCGCAGATGTCTTTTAAATTGTCCCAATCCAAAAGGTGGGATCAGTTTATTTGAAGAAAAATTGGTCCACACTTGAACAGGGTTTTACCTTCTCTCGTTACAATATGACAACAATATAAAACATATCATGCGGTGGTCATTTTCTAATCTGAAACCTTAATTCATAGTTTAGACATTAAAGTCTTCCGACATAATCCAAAGAAATCTCCTCACGGATCGAAGGTGCTAACATTCACACCTATAGCCTGACAACATTCAGAGGCAGTTCCTCATAAATGGTCAGTAGGATCTAACAGTTTCAAACTTTCATCCAACAATTCACTCAGCATTCAATAAACCTGATTTAAGCAATATTTACCAAGTTTGAGAGAACCTTATCGAGGGAAAACCCAGCTCTCCAGGGAGAGAGCTTACCGGGAGAGAGCATACCAGGGGAACCCCCCCCCCCCTCTCTCGAGTTTGTTCCCTCTCTGCTAGTGAAAAACCTAAAGACACCTCCTCCATACCCATATTTGTGGAAACTGGGCATGGCCTCTGATGTACAGGACTGGACTTGTCCAGACATATTCTATGGCTATGGCATAAGACACACCTTCCCATGTTTGTGTAAAAATGTCATGACCTCTAGTGTGCAGGACTGGAAAATATTATTCTCGGCTATGGCATAAACACCTTTTTGGGGCCTCAGGCCTAGCCTCCACGGGAACGAAAACGGGTTGTATCCGCATATTTCTCTTGCGTATAGCCCTTTAAGCTACACGACGCCGTAACGGAACGGTAGAAACGGACCCTGCAAACGACAACGGGTCCAAAGGTGGATAGATCTGGGAACGGAGCGCTCTGGGGGGTCCAACGGGGCCGTGTGGTAGCCTATACGGTCATCCGTTTCTGATCATGACGACGCAATAGCCCCGCCTCTCCCCACCCTCTGCTGCTCACCCCCCGCAAAAGTACACTGCACACTGAATTCAGATTATTTATCTTTATCTCGATATGGACATAAACGCGAGTGAAGTCTAATCTGACAGGACGGAGACACGCAGCTCCTCCCGCTGTGATGCAGCGGGAGCAAAACACACACTTCAAGTCAGATCATCACCCTTAGCTATTTTAATTACCTCTCAAACTACCTAAACTAGTTATAAATATGTTTATTTTTACTGTCGAGTCATCATTACTGGATCAGCTGCTGCATGAGACAGACACTGACACTGTCAGAATAGAGGAAAAAGAGAGGCTCCGTATATTTTATTATTATATATCATTATATCGTCGTTATTCATTTGTTTTAAAGCTCAATAAATAACAAAGAAGACCTTTGACCGGTACTTTTATAATTTTGTCCGGAAGATTTAAACTTTAAACACACGTTGACCGCGAAAAAACTCTGCCCGGTTCCCTCGGCCCCCACCGCGGAGAATAAACAGAAGTGCAGCCATGACAACCATTCTTCTTCGCTGCTTTTGTGGAGGAAGTTGCTGCTTTTGTGGAGGAAGTTACAGCGCCACGTACAGGCTCGGCATATGTACTGCAGCTTTTCCAGCGGTTGGATGTAAACGGAGCTGTCTCGTGTAGCAAGACACAATCCGGTGTATATTGCGTGTGGACGGAAGCTTTTTGGCGTTTGCGTTTGCGTTAATCCTATGCGTTTTGCCGTATGCGTTCCCGTGGAGCCTGGGCCTTAGTATTTCTCCAAAAAGTCAGGAGCCCCCCCCCCCTGTGTACTGCTGTGAGAAGAAACTGTCTCCTCTTTCTTATCAGTGACACCCATAAACCATAATAGGCCTTACACTCAACTTAACAAACCACTTGTGTTTTGTTTATACTGTAAATATAGAAAATCATAAAATATGAAGCATTTTCATTGTGGGTTATACAAGAATATAATTGGTTATATTTGATTATATAAGTATTCAACCTAATATGGTTAAAGCACTCCTTCTACCGTTTAAAATATCAAAACAGAACCCAAACTATCTGTTGCATATCTAGAGCCGGATATTAAGTTTTCCTTTGTGCCATAGAGCTACTTTATTGTTCAAAAACTATTAAAGAGGACATATTCTGCTCATTTTCAGGTGTATATTAGTATTTAGTGCCTGTACTGTGACATGTCTCCATGCTTTAATGTTCAAAAAGCTCTTTATTTTTCTCATACTGCCTGTGCTGCAGCACCTCTTTTCACCCTCTGTCTGAAAACAGAGTCCAGTCTGCTCTGATTGGTTAGCTGGCCGGCTCTGTTGTGATTGGTCAACAGCTTAGAGATGTCCCGCCCCTTAGCCTATCACGTAAGTGTATGGAGTGCTAGCTAATAGAAGCGAAAGTGTTACATTGTGATGTCACTATGTTGTGAAAGTAAGCAAAGGAATCCAACCGAGTGGTTTTTGGCAAAGCGTGTGGAGGCCCATAATAGAACACACAGTATAGCAACACCTTTTTTTCACTCGGTGGCCATTTGGACTTGGAGCTGATAGCTACAGGTAGACTATGGAAGTCTGAAAGTATTGAGAGGCAAATAAACACGTTGTTGGTGCAGCTCTTTTAATTAGATATTTTGAGAGTAAAACGATATAGAAAAAAACGTTGTGTAGATCAAAACATAGATTACAAATATATTGGCCTTGCTTTCATCCTTCATGTCCTCTGGATATGAGTCAACAGTTATTTGCTATCATGTAAGCTATACCAACAAGCTGATATTTCTGTATCTGCCATTAAGATGCTTCTCTGCCCACTTATTGCTAAATTTGAAAAAGCTCCAAATGGATTTTCTTTTTGTCATGTCCTCTTTGACTAGGCTGGTTAATAGAGGTGAGATCTTGCTGACGTTGGTGGATCTGAGCCAAGCAGTAAACTTACATAGACTCAATAACTTCTGTTAGGTCAATTAGTAGGTCTGAGTAATTTGCCGGAATAAATTATCAGCCCTCCCGACTCCCAAGAGTACTAATTAATAACCTGTGTTTGGAAATGTTGCACTTGATCATCTGAAATTAAGGTGGGGTGCTGCTTTGGTACCTAGTATTTATTTACAATGTATGCATGTTTGGTGCTTTTAGAAAGTCAGGAATGTAACGTTTAAAGATTCCCACTAAACAATAAGAAAACTAACCTCAAGTATAAAAAAGGAATCGGACAAAAATAGATATTAACATAAACACTCAATAAGCCTAAAACAGAAAGAATAGTAAACACAAGCCAAAAAAAAGGTCTTAAAACAACATATTATAATTCACAACATATAATAATGATACATGGGATTATTATAGCGCTAATATAATCTCAAAGACACTTTACATAAAATCAGAACAGAAACAGTACAAAGAAAACAAAAACATAACATATGTGAGGTGTATTGTGTTGAAATTGCTATAGCCCACAGAACATAAAAACATCTAACCAAATATTGGTTATCTTAAACTGTATTAGTTGGGCTCTGGTGTAGTGTTATGATTATTACTTTAGCTTTGAGTATTTTTTATTATTACTTATACTATGATAAATGATAGTACCACTTTCTATTAAGTCATCCTTTCAAAATGGTTTGTAAGTTGCAATAAATTACTTTTTTGATGGTTTTATAAATATGTTTATCGGTATTATTTTTTTTCTTTCAAACTGCAGTAGCCTATGTTTCTTTACTCTTGTATTTATTTGCTAGAATACAACAGTTTGGCACCACTATCAACCGGGCAGCTTTTAATAGCATGAGGAGGAGTATTCAATGTATGATTATATCCCACATTGAATACTGTTTTACAAACTGGTCGTTTGCTTGTGCCACAAACCTGAAACCCATAGAACAGCTGTACAAGAGAGCTATCAAGGTTTTTGACAGAAAGCCAAATTCATACCACAACTGAACCATCCTTGATAAACACAATTTCTTGAGTTTTGACAATTTGAAGTCTTTTAAAAGTATGTGTTTTTTTCTTAAATGTTTACATGGACTGGCTCCCCCTCCCTTAGGGGAATTCATCCACAAAAAACACACTGGACGCTGCACTAGGTCAGAAACCAGAGAAGACTGTGAAGTCCACCATAGACGGACAACTTTTGGACAAAATGTACTATCAATTAAAGGCAGCTCATTGTGGAATAGCCTCCCAACTGAGATACAGGATTGTCCCACTCTCAATAGTTTTAAAGGACAACTTAAAGAATGGTTGAGCAACAAACAGACGTGTAATCACCGCTAAATGCACTTTTATACAGGGGTATCTCCTCTTGCACTTTATGTAGCACTTTTATCTTATCTTGCACTTTATATATCATAGCTGCTACATTGTACTGCCATGTGGTAAATGCCTGTGTGCTGCTCATGCTCTTCCTGCATATCATGTATTTATTTTTGCTATGTATATGTCATGTTCTTATATGTTGTATGTGACGGGACTACGGATGGAAATTAGCTCAAAGCTAAAATCCGGCTCATTTACACTTGTCATCAATGTGCACTGTCCCGGTTCAAATAAACGATTAAATAAATAAATAAATAAATAAATATCAACACACTCTCCACACAGCATCTGCCTACACTCAACACCACCCGGCTTTGCATCACATTCTTCACTGCAGCAGTCACACTGTATAACATTAATTTATTCAAGCAACCCTAAAATCTCGCGGTGCTACCATTCAGACATCTTGCATTTTACTAAATCTGGTTTTGGAGATTTTTCCTCATTAAACATATACTTTATCTTTATCTACATATATATATTCTCGGTAGAAACAGGCTTCCTTTGGGGTCCTTTGAACCGAGATTCCTCCGAGCTAACAGATGTAAGGCGGTCGGACCGAGCCTCGCGTGCCAATCCCGCGGAGTTTAGACGCTTTCTCACGGGCTGCTCTCGCCGTATTGTGCGTCATCTCCATCGCTGCCGTTTTGTTATTTTTCTCCAGCGAGGAAACATGGCAACTCCCGCCGCGGTCAACCCGTCCGGTAAGTCAGTACCGGAGCTGTTGGTGGTTGGAAATATGAATGTTTCTTAGTGTTAAATAGAACATTTAGAATCTTTTACACTGTTGCTGGACAGGCTGAAGCGGGGACAGGCCGCCGAAGCCTGACTCCATCCTCCATCCCCCTCCCCCCACTGACCGCCGCTCACAACATTGCTATTCTTCACACATTTGAAGCCAGTTTAGCAGTCATAACGAGTTGGTTTTTGTGTGTTTCTATGTATTTATCCTTATATGGTGTCGTATTGTTGGTTTCCTCGGTTGGGCTAGCACATATCGTTCTCTCGCCGAGCCTTTGCTCTCCTCTCTGGGATACAAAAGGTTACTTTGCATATCGCTATCGCTGCTCTGCCCTTCATTTGGTCTGTGTTTCGTCGGGGACATTTTTACATTTGTTATCGGTAAATGTTGTCACTTATATTTCCCTGTTCCTTGCCTGTTGAATCAATATCGTGCAGAAAGGCTTTACATTTAGTATGAAGGCTGTTCATTCAGTCTTTTGCCTCAATGGGCAGCAGGAAATTGTGTGAACCAGGAATACAAGTTAATGTGAAATGACTAGAACAGGTTTGTAAAGCGAAAGGCATGATACTATGTTAAACTTGAGTATATACATCTTAATAGAATCACAGTTTATTTGTCTCACCCCAGACAGTATAAAATAAGTTGAGCAAATGTACTGTATCATCTTGCTATCATTAGCCTACTTTATTTTTACTGAGCTTGAAATGTACAGTATTCAAATAATACAGTTAATCATTTTAATATGGCCAACTGCCATTGCAATGCATTACATTAATTACAGTTGACTACAGTGGCTATTGCATGGCATGTCTGTGGATCTGCATCATTAGAAAACAACTTTTGCTCCAAATAGGATGTCAAGTAGAAAGAGACGCAGTATTTGGTTATAAAACAATAACACCAAAAAGATCTGTCTAAATCAAGAAAAAGTAAATACTCTTCTATAAAGGATGGATGAGCTTCTATGACCTCCATATGAAAACATGTCAACCACACTCTATCTCACGCTCTGTGCCACCTCATTGGCAATGCAAATGAAAAGAGAATTTAAATAAAGAATTGTCTGGTTATTAACACATTGGCTGCATACAGAGTGTCTAGGAGGGGTGTTTTTAGAATAAGCAATGTACACACATGAGAAAATAACCCTGTCAGATAAAAAAAAGGGCCATATGAAAGACAAAACCAAGGCTTCCCCTTAATCTTTTTTTAAAAATAAAAGCAATCTGTTGGTCATTTTAGATGCAATTCAACATGTATACAAGATTCGAAGGCTTCATTGTCATACGCACAGTACCTACGATGTAGATATGGCAATACAAATCTTAAGGCCCAGGCTCCTCCAACAATGCATCATAATATATAAGACCTAAAACTAATTGAAAAACAATAAAATAGTGCAAGAAGAAACGGAGTATATTAAATTAGTGCAAGATTATCTTGCAAGACCAATGTGCGGGTAATGCAGAATGAGTTAAAAACATATAAATTCAATAAGCTAAATGATGCAGAGAATGTTGTAAGTAAACAAGTAAATGCAGGAGTCTATATACATTCAAATAGAATAAGATAAACAAGATCATAATGTAAACATAAAATACTATTGTAGTAATAAATAAATAAATTGTAAGATGCAAACAGATTAATGTCACTGCAGATCAGAGTAATATCTTGTATGGAAGGATGAGAGGGATACATGTTGAAGGCAAGCATCACAGAACTACCAGGGACTGTATATTAGTTCAGCGCCCCCCCCCCCCCTGCAATTGCATGTGCTGTACTGTGATGATCCACTCAGATGTTGAGCGTGCAGTGAGAGTTACGTGCAGCTCCTCTATCCGCTGATGAAACCGGTTAGAATTAAGTCATGCCTAATGCTGCTGCTGCTGTAGCCAAATCAGGACAGTTATCCTGCTGATCAGTGATCTGCCTTTGTGCTCCCCGGGCTTGGCAGTACAGTCAGGTGAGCTGACCCCGGACCAGAGGCTCTGGATGTGGGAATGCTGTGTCACTGCAGGATTATGTGCAGCTGGCCTGCACCCAGATCCAATTGGTGTAAGAGCCTGTGAAACATTACGAGTGAAATTACCTAATGAGGCTCTTTCCAGAGGACTGTTGCATACAAAGATCCAACTGCAGTGTGCATTGGACATTATCAAGTATTGAATGTACCCATGTATTGATTGATATACAGAAAATTACTCAATCCATGCTACTATTTTCAGTCATTATCCAAGTTACTTATCAAACTAAAATAAGGCAAACACTCTCTGACCCCAGCAGTCAACTTTCATCTGAATTTTTCTCTATTTTACTGACCTTTTAACTGACTAAACGATCAATAAGATAATTTGCTAGTAGCCCCAATTTTGTCAATTTGATACAGTATTGTATTTTCTTCAGGCAAAGTTTTTCTTTATGTATTTCAGGTGTTTGGCCATTTAAAGTGGACCTATTATGCTATATTGGAAAAATATATTGTAGGGCCATACCTATACAAAACATGTCTGGGAAGTTTTTTGCTTAAAATACCAAACAGATCACCCATTGTAGCCATGCCTCATACTGCTCATACCCCTCTATTACAGCCCTGTTGCAAACAGGCCGATTCTACTTTAAATTGAACGGCTGCTGCTAGCCACGCCCCTTTGTAGCGTCACGCAGCTCTCCCCTGCTAGAGAGATTTCTACCGGGAGAAACTCAGCTAAACGCTGCGGTGATTAAATGCCATATTATGTTCCTAACCACTTCAAGCTTTATTTCTGAAACGGTATGGAGCTCAAACCTTTCTCTCTCGCAGGGTTTACCACAAGGACATTACGTTACACATATTCTCTCCAGTAGCCTACAGCGTTAGCTCCATGGTTAGCTCTGAGTGTTAGCATGCTTGCTAATGTAAACACGCAGCATATTACTCCCAAAACACGCCGCGCATTGTTTCTGATACAGCACATAGCTTTTCATGTTCTTTCTTAAGTGTTTTCCGCTAGAACAGTGCCATTATATGTATTATATATAACAACTTTACTCTAAGTGCCTCCTGCAGACATCCTGCTGAATACACAGACACACAGCTGCGACTATATACGGAGACGATAGGTTGGGACGTGTCACGTGTGCCGGAGACGATAGGTTGGGACGTGTCACGTCGGCCGGGTGTCGCCAATGACGTAATGGGAGCAAAAATTCTGGATTGGCTTGTTAGCACCCCCCCCCCCCCCCCCCCCCCCCCCCCCCCCCCCCCCCCCCCTTTTTTTTTTTTTTTGAGATGTGGGTACGGAGGAAAAGAGAGGGTTTTGTTTTCTGACACTTTGTGAGTTCCCTGACACACCGGGGACACATATTTATGTATAAAAGACATCAAAAAGTGCATTTTGCATAATAGGTCCCCTTTAACTTACAAAAGGAGTACAGTATATCAGGTCCCCTTTAAATTAAAATAGAATACCTATCATACAAAATGCACTTTTGTACGTCTTTTATACATGAATATGTGTCCCCGGTGTTCCAGGGAACTCACCAAGTGTCAGAAAACACAACCCTCTCTATTTTCCTCCATACCCAAATCTCTAAAAAAGGGGCTGCAACCGATCTGATAAAAACTGATCCAGATTTGAACACTGTCCTGACGTCAGGACAGTGGCGCTACGGCTATTGAGCCAACTCCACCAATCAGGAGGAGACAGCCACGGCCATTGCCGTTCGAAAGCGCTGGAGACGCTGTAGTACATATGCCAGGCCTGTAGATGGTGCTGTTCTCACAGAATCTGCCCTTGCAAAAACAGAGCAATTTTTTTTCAAATTGAGCAAAATGAGGCATGGCTAAAATGCATGATCTGTTTGGTATTTTGAAAAAAAAAAAGTATAAATATGCCTTATATAGGTATGGTCCTATACTATATTATTCAAATATAGCATGATAGGTCCACTTTAAGTATCTATACCTTTCAAAGAAGGGAGTCAATTCTTGTGACTTCATCTGACAACATATGCCTATACAATGATCTGTATCCTAAAGCTGCTGATATATAGTAGTAATAGGCCACAGTGTGTCAGGCAATCAATCATTATAAACGTTCCATAAAAGAGGGCAAAGCCATATATAATCATAATTATATATTGCCATTTAATTGTATTTCTTCTGCTCCTTGTGTGTTTATGCATTCACAAAGTAAGATAAGCTCTGATATTGTACTTGACATTAATATTCATATCACTGTTTGAATGGCTTCTACATTGTGTTCAACTATGAGGCCGTTTATCCTTCATGATTTCTCCATTTCTAAAACACTCTCCATTGGTGTTGAGCTATTTCAAGTGTAACAACACCAGTTACAAATAAAATGACTGTTATTTGCACATCAGAATCAGAATATTATTTATCTCTGGGAAACTGTTTTGTGACAGTTGCTACATGTTAGAATGAAATAAATAAAATACACCCAAATCAGTTGAATAACATATTTGTATAAACATAAAAAGTTAAAGCAAGAATGCCTTAAAATGATACAAAATAGATAATTTACCAATGTAATGTTTACACAAATAATAGCTGGTCACTGTTAAACTACTCTGTTGTGATTTGGTCTGACAAACTTTCCATATACTTAACCAAGCAGTTTATAATAATGTCAGAAAGATTATTTCATATTCAGTAACACTGGTCAATAATCAATGTTTCAAAGAGTTTTATATATCTAAGTCTTAGCCACATATCAAAGCATTTTGAAGAGTTACCTGGCCAAGATAGTCTGCAGCACAATAAAAAGGAATTAATTCAGATGACAGACATACGACAAAAATAGGTTTTTAATTAAGTCAGTTATTGTTTCAGATAGGGCTGTGCGATTATGGCAAAAATCATAATCACGATTATTTTGGTCAATAATTGATATCACGATTATTACAAACGATTATCCATTTACTTTGAAAACATCCATTTATTGAAAAAAAAAATTT